TTTCCTAGCTATGTCCATTGAAATAAATACTCAATAAATGCTAATGGTGTCTGAATGCCAATATGATAAGGGAGGAGGGAGGCAGGGCTGAAAGGAAGAAGGAAGGAAGGAAAGACACTCAAAAGGCATGCTAATTCAAAATGTATAACTTTTTATAAAATTGTTATTTATTTTACTTGAAAGGCAAAGTGACAGAGATAGGGAGAGAGGAAGTGAAAAGAAAATCTACCCTACCCTGGTTTACTCCCCCAAATGCCTGTAAGAGCAGGGTTAGGCCATGCCAAAGCAGAGAGCAGGAACTTGGGCTGTCATCTGTTACCACCCAGGTGCAATAGAAGGAAGCTGCCTCCGAAGTGCATAGCAGCTAGCTCTAGAACTCTTACTCTGATATGGGATGTGAGCATCCCAAGTGGTGGTTTAATCACTGCACCACAATGCTCTCCCCTCAAAGTTTATAGTTGGAGGACAAACATTGTTACAGTGCCTTGTAATTTGAAAGCACTTTATTTTTTATCTCTGAAAATATTGCTTAGTCTTCTCACATATTTTTAGCATAAAGCTTATCAATATTCTTGATGCTTTTCAGAGTGAGGACACTAAACCTTTCTAAATTCACATCCTGTACACTTGTTCATATCCTACTTTTTATGGAGGACAAAAGCCTTATTTTGTTTGAATTTCTTTTGTCTCAATTTCGGAGCCCCAGATCTCTACCATACCCTGGTTTTCCTTTTGTTTATGTGACTACTCCTTAGCAGTTGTTTTCCCTTCTACAATACCTCCTACTCCTAGCAAGGGCCCTCCATTTGGTTCTCTTTCCTTCTCTTATGTCCATAGGCTTAAACAAAGTCATGTTATCTTCTTAGTGCAAGAAATATTACTTATGGCCAAAAGCTCTAAGTGTCTTACTATACTTGTCCAAGATGTGATGCATTGTCTGTCCTTCCAGGATGGCACTTCCTGCACATCCTGTCTTCATTAATGGAGCCACCATCCTCCACCTAGTCTCTGAAACCACAAACCTGAGCCTTCTTCAATTACTCCCTCCCCTTCACTCTTTATATCCAATCAGCTGCCACATCCTGTCAATCATGCCTCCACAAATGCCTTTCAAAACTCACCTCTCCTCTAGTGCATTGGTCATCTTTGCCATTAACTCATGCAAGTCAACAACATGGACTTCATTTTTTCATCCTCGCTTTGCCTGCTACAGACTTGTCTCTCTGCAGTGGCACAGATACTGTCTTCCATGACACCTGTGAACAAAGAAATGCATAAATAAGAAAATTTGCCTATCTATGCCTCATCTCTATTTATAAGAAAGGTCCTTTTCAATAGCAATCATACTCTTCCTTTGCTTGTGGTGTGCCATCTGATCCTAACCTCAATTCTAGCCTTGTTCTCTGTTCTTCCAAGGCTCCCACTCTGGTGCCCCATCAGAAACACCATATTTCTTAACACTCATATAACCTTGTGATTTCCAAGAATACTGTGCCTATTCACTCCCCAGTCTTACATATGCTCCTGCATATGCAGCTTTCTCTGTCAAGCATACCTTCCTCCCTGCCTGGTGAACCATGTTCAGCTCATCATGAGGTGTGTGTCCTGTGGAGACAGCCTTGACACGTGGCATCCAAGGCAGGGTGAGAGCTCCACCTTCTGTACCTCGGTGGCACCAGGGCTCCCCTCTGTTAAGAGCTGTGGCATTGCTGCAGCTCTTCTATCACTCCCTGAACTACACACCTCCTCAAAACTCACTCTTTTCATCTCCTCTGCCTGATAACCTCCAATTGAATTTGTATTAAGTTAATGAAACTTTCATTGTTTCTGACTTGAATCTTGGTATTTCATTTTTTTTTTTTTTTTGGTCTTCGCTCTGGTGGAAGATCTTTATTTTGTTATTTTAATTATCTTTTTAGAACACTTTCTATCCTTGATTAAAGAAAGATGAACAGTGTCACTATGCATAATCCTTGGTAGGGTATCTGATCTATTACCTCTATGATAAAGTCTAATCTTTTTTCTTTTTTTTTTTTTTTTTTTTTTTTTTTTTTTTTTTGACAGGCAGAGTAGACAGTGAGAGAGAGAGAGAGACAGAGAAAGGTCTTCCGTATTCACTGGTTCACCCACCTAATGGCCGCTGCGACCGGCACATGCGCTGATCCGAAGCTAGGAACCAGGTGCTTCTCCTACTCTCCCATGCAGGTGCAGGGCCCAAGGACTTGGGCCATCCTCCACTGCCTTCCTGGACCACAGCAGAGAGCTGGACTGGAAGAGGAGCAACCGGGACAGAATCCATTGCCCCAACCGAGACTAGAACCTGGGATGCCGGTGCTGCAGGCGGAAGATTAGCCTATTGAGCCACGCGCTGGCCTAAAGTCTAATCTTTTAATTTCTTTACTGGAAAGAGGCAATTATACAAAATCCTGATTTTTTTCCTGGCATTCTTTCTGCTTGAGCTCTTTTTCGCAATACAGTTTGTACCAGACACTGTGTAGGACAATGATAGTACATAAGCAGTTGCGATATCATTGAATATAAAGACTCACTGATTCATTTCAGGGAGTGACCAGCAATGCCCAATGAGACCTTAGCCATTATTCACCTCTCACATTCCACTGGGGCATATTGCAGGACATTGTCCCTACAGAACTCACTAGAATTCTGGTCCACCCTCCTCTTCAGCATCACCTGCCTATCCCTAGGACCTCTTGCACAATTATCCAGACACTAATTCACATTCATATTCCATCCCTTCTTTCTTTCTCACGCCACCCCTGAACTTCTCCCTCTCGCCTCTGATTTACCCCTTTCTGGCTCTCTGTTGCTGTGGCCCCTGGATTCCTTGAAACACCTCCTTGCTGTGTGCTGTGCACTTAAAATTAGAGGATGCATGCTTCTTCTTGGGGTTTTCCCCTAGAATTGCCTCCCTCATCCTTGTCCTTTTAAACTCTATCATCTTCATATCTATCATTCCAGTTCTGTTTCTCTAACAATCACTACCACCATCCTAATCCTGTGGAAACTGAACTGAAAATGAAAGAAACTATGTTTAAATGAAACAGCAGCAGTAGGAGAGAGAAGAGAGAGGGCATTCTAAGTGGGAAAACCCCAGGGTTCCTTCTGAGCAGAGCGTAGGGAAGTTCTGGACACACCTATTAATGGTTTTGTCTCATCAGTGATGAGATCTGGTCACTTCCTTCACATACTTCACACTGTGATAGGATAGAGCACACTAAATTACCAAGCATAATATTACATGACAGCTGCTATGGTACTATTATGTGCAGGGTATTCTGAGAACATTGTCAAAAGCATTTACCTCCAGGCCGGCGCCGTGGCTCACTTGGCTAATCTTCTGCCTGTGGCACTGGCATCCCATATGGGTGCCAGGTTCTAGTCCCTGTTGCTCCTCTTCCAGTCCAGCTCTCTGCTGTGGCCTGGGAAGGCAGTGGAGGATGGCCCAAGTGCTTGGGCCCTGCACCCTCATGGGAGACCAGGAGGAAGCACCTGGCTCCTGGTTTGGATTGTTACAGCGCCGGCCGTAGCGGCCATTTGGGGGGTGAACCAATGGAAGGAAGACCCTTCTCTCTGTCTCTCTCTCACTGTCTATCTCTATCTGTTAAAAAAAATAAAAAGCATTTACCTCCAACAGTAAAGCAGAGCAGGGCTCCTGGTGGTAATAAATAATTTTATATGATATATTTAAGTTTGCTTGGAGACTACATGTAAATGTGAATTGGGACCTGGAAGGGAAATTGACAATGAATTTAATAATTCCAGGACTCACCACAAAATACATTGATTGGCGATCAGCATTTTTAGTGATTACAATGGTTGTCACAATGGGGTTTTGAGAAGATGCCAACCTATTTGGATTGGAACTACAACTGCATCTTTTGCAAAGCCAAGAATTTCTCTTTCCAGTGGAAGGCTCTAAGCCAATTTGTTTTCTCCCATTACCTTAATGAAGATTGATTTCTAATATATCCATTTCATATGTCTTATCACCAGTTAAACATAAGATGTTTTCTTTTGAAATGTTGAATAAAGCATGGAAAAGTATTGATGATGACAGAAATGCCATGTTAGGGCTGTGTGTGTTTCAATATCAATGTTTACACTGAGAGTTAGAACATACAAATGAAAAGATGTTTCATTTTGACATTTGTTAATGTGAAACTGTGTCTTACTACATTTCATTTTTGGTACACTAAAACGAGACAATCATGACCTTAAGTGATAATAGTTAAACTAATTTGAAAGTGTTTATTGCTAGATCTTAAAACAGTCATAGAGTTTTGGTTGAAATTAATCTGACACTTAACCTTTTCATAAAGCATAATGACAAAGATATCAATAATAATTATGTATTTATTTGAAGATATGGAAAGCATAGCAAAAAAATAAGACTTTTACCACATCTCATTAAACCATACATATCATTCTGAATCAGAATGTTTCCAGACACCTGTCCATAATAGTGAAAGCATTCATGGACAAGTATATGATTACAAGTTTAGGATTAGATTAATTTCTTCCACCCCGGAATGAATTAGGTCATTAACGTGAGTTACACCATTAAAGAATTCAAATCAGGGGAGTGTACACAGTTTGCACTTGCTGTCTCAGAGACATTTGATAATTACACTGGATCCATCTTTCAGACCACTCCCTAAGCTAATGAGCTTTGATAACTGCTGAAGCTCTAGGCATTCAGAAAATTGCAGTTAAAGTTTAAATGACTCTAAAATGTCTTGTTTCGTCTTTCAGGACATTTCAGAATGGTAGGCTCAATGTGAGTCTAAATTCCATAGGTAGTTTTTGAGCCCCTTGATTTGATTATTTCATTTTCTCTGAATTTTTGTTCTTTTATGGAATTATAAAGTGGTATTCTGTTATGTGTACTGCAAAAAGTGTACTTACCTACATGCTTTACATCATCTGTCTTTACATTTTATAGCCTTACTCATTCTGCTCCTGTATTTCCACTTTTCTAGACAAGTTGGCATTTTCACTGCTCTGACTGGGCTGCAGGACTGAAAAGGCAAGGCTTGAATGAGGTAAGTCACGTGAGAAGCAGTTGTTAATGCCCCCATGTTCTCCAGCCAATACTCCTGTGGTGAACGCCAGTTTAA